TCATCAGTGATCCGGAGAAAAAATACACACATGGTATCTCAGGAAACCAGGAGCACCCGCAGCGCGCCGTGCAACAAGAGAGCGCGTCCCGTAACCGACTTCCACCAGCACCAAAGGTTGTGCACCAGCGCCATTGTCGCCATGATGCACGGCGTCAGTACACCAGGTATCACACACACATACACTCAGCGAAGCGTCGATGAACCACAACATACAGAGTGAGTGCACATAGAGTTTCATACGAGGCAACAAAAGAACATTAGTGGTATAAAGTCTAAAAGGAAACAACGGAAAAATACCTAGTATAAAGTGTAACAGAAGTAATTTGAGCGAGCGGCCAACGGAACAGGACTTTACTTAAATCCTTAGCCAAGCCTCATTAATCTCACCATGATATCTTGCAGAGCAGCTATGAGTGTCAATTCCTCGCTCAGGCGAAAATATCCAGTCAGCACTTTCCGACGTTTATATCAATACCCAGGGCTGTAACTGAGGAGGCTTTCATCATGTGCTTTCAACTAATCATTCTGTCCTTACATTTGTGTGAAGTTGGTGGCTAGTGTAATCTCTGGAGTGTGTGTGACAACATATTCGCTAATGAATCATGTAATTTCAGAGAGCGTTATTCACGGGGTGTGGTGTGAGAGAGGGGCACGAAGAGACCAAGAGAGGGATAAAAGGACGAGGAGAAGGAGCAAAAGAGAAGGAGGGGAAGGCACAAATGCAGAATGAGGTGAATCATATAGAGCTAATAAAGAAAGAAGGTTGATATAGGCAGTTAGATGACGAATACAAAGGAGAACAGAAAGCTGAAACAGAGTGAGAGAGAGACCGAGAAGAGAGAGACCGAGAGAGAGAGACCGAAGAGAGAGAGAGAGAGAGAGAGAGAGAGAAGACGAGAGACGAGCAGAAGAGAGAGAGAGAGAGAGAGAGAGAGAGAGAGAGAGAGAGAAGAGAGCAGACGAGAGAGAGAGAGAGAGAGAACGCAGAGAGAGGAGACGTGAAGAAAGAGAGAGCTGATGGCGAGTGGCTGAGGAGAGAGGAAGGAGGAGACGAAGAGAGCGACGAGGGAGGAGAAGGGACAGGAGAGGGAAGGAGAGAGGACGAGAGAGGGAGAGGAGGAGGAGGAGGAGGAGCATGAGGAGAGGGAGGGGGGTAGTAGATGGCAAGGAGTAATGTGTTGTAGCCGCACGAGGGGGTGAAGGGAGCGGGAGGGGGCAGGCTAACCTGCCAGGTGTTAATTGCAGGTACGGTAGAAAAAATGAAGGCAGGAGTAAAGGAGGATGAAGAACAACGCTCAGGAAGAAGCTTGGCGGATAAACGCGCACGACGGCACGGAGATGGACACGCGGGCGCGCGCACACAACAACACACAACACACACACATATATTTGAACACAACAAGGCATGCGAGAGAGAGTTTCATATTCAGAGACTTCACACCTGGAGTAATTCCAGCATGTCCTGTCACCTGGTAGGCGTACCCATTAAGTGGCCAACTACCATACCAACACTCACCTTAAGGCAGACACAGACAACACCAGCACTCTAACTACGACAACACTACATCACACACCACACCACATCACCGTAACACATCTATGAGTGGTGAAATGCCACAAAAACCTCACATATCTTCCACTAATTAAATTATTTAATCAATTGATGCACACAGTCACTGCTGCATCATGTCTTGGAAGGAGTCAACGTTATACATCCCATCGTCAGCTGATCATGTAGCAGTATGGCAAACGAAGAAACAAGGACAAGAAAATCCGTATAAAATATTCTATCGTGTTTCGATGGCTCTGGATTGCATATACAAGATAGAGACATAATCGTGATGTGTGAGAAGTGTGAAGGTCCGTAGTAATTGCAACATGCACCTAGGGAAAAAATATAGAAGTGGTGCCACTCTTGACATTCACACACATAACATAGTTTATTTATTTATTATTTTATTACAGGTAATAATCCAATTATAACGTAAATAATGCATTCCAGTAAAAACGCTCGCACAGCTGTAAATTTCGTAGCTTGAATGTTAGTTTTCCTGCTGACATTGCTAATATAAAGATGTTGTCTCCCATTTTGGAGAAATAATACAATGATTAAGAAGTCGAGGTTATGAATGATGATTGATTATCTAATTGATCGTAACAGCAGTAATTATGGCTAATGACAAGGAGGGAAAGGGATTAAAATTGAATGTATGAATTAACATTCTTCTACAGGGTTGTGGCACCTGCTAGCTTAATGCTCTAGTCTCCCCACTGCTCTAAAGGGGCAACATCCGAAGTTACAGGCTCCTCAGAGCAAAAACTGCGCATGTCGGAGACAGAATTCAAGATTCTTCAGAGACGAAGAATCAGCACAGAGCTGGCTGCAGCGCCCCTAGCAAGGCGGCGGGACGACCAAGGCCTGGTAGCAGAGCACAGCTCCAGCAGCGTATCGAATATCTCAGCTTATGTCACCGCGTCTCCCTCCTCCTCCTCCTCCTCCTCTCTCTCTCGCTCTCTCTCTGCTGTCTCTTCCTCGTCTCTGTCTCTTTTTCCCTCACTCCGCCTCTCTTCATAGAAAAAACAAACGAGAACTGTCCTATTTTTCTCATTTCTGTCTTTTGTCTTATCTCTCCATATCCCTGTTCTTCGGCTCTCCCCCTCTCTCTTCTCCCTCTCTAGCTTTCTCGCCTTTTCTCTTCTACAATCAAAACGACGACACAAAAAAACAATGACGTCCAAAATGATCGAACGAAACCTCTGTGTCTGTCTTGTCTATCATATCTTGACGGGGGGGTGGGGGGGGCGAGGAGCAGGATCACGCTGATGTGTGCGCTTCGCATTCCTATTATCTCTTTTTCTCATTCTATATCTCAACCTTTCTCTTTATCTCACGAGCCTTGTTCTCCATGTCCCTTTTTCATCCCTGTCCCTGTTTGTGCCTTTTATATTCTCTCAACCCTCGCTCCTCGCCCCCACTTTTTCTCCCTCTATCTCTTTTTTAATAATGTGACATGTAGTGCAGAATGTGGTTACACATTGGGAAGCATTGCAAAGCTGGAATTCACAATAATATAGAGAGCGTGAGAGCAAAACGCTGGAACACCAATATCCATTGGGATCGCTCTCCCTTCCGGTGTAGTTTGCAAGAATCGCAGTGAGACTATCTGAGTCTATGAATAGCGAGTTTTTGGTATGACACTACGTCTTTTTTTCTGAGGGGGGGGGGGTAGCGACGACAAGAGAAGAAAGCGTAGCCGTGCTTTTTAAGTGAAGCCAAAGTGAAGCGAATGGCGCTATGCACTAAGACGCTCTACGCTCAAGTACGTTACGGGAGGTAGTTGGTCGGCAAGCACCCGCCTCCGTGCGCCGTGCATTGTGTTGTGCCGGTGAAGGCTTAATACGGAATACGGTGGAGGGGGAAGGGTTGTCGGGAGCGAGAAAGGAGGAAGGTGGAAGAGGAGGAGGAGGAGGAGGAGGAGGTGCGAAGAGGAGGAGGGGTTTTTGTTAGCGATTTTATTGTTCCCAGGAGCAATGTGAGGTTACTCGGAAGCCTCGAAGATGCGTACTCCGGATAGGAGGAGGAAAGGAAGCAATAGCTGGGTTCTGCATTTTTCATTAGTTCTAGCAACAGAGGAAATAATGGAACAATGCGAGGGGCACTTATGCGGGTCGTGGCAATGCCATGTCTTGGGCCGACGTCACGCTGGATCCACATGGACGGCAACATACATCGGGGCGGACTTCGTGGGAGAAATGCGATGTGACATTTCCTTTGTCACACAATGACACCGGCGCCAGCAGTGCAGTAAAGACAATCCGAGTCTACCAAACTTAACGCCAGAACGAGGCCGCTATTTACTTTTACACCGAACCGCGCGCACAGGCACAAGAGCAGCAGCAGTAAGGCTAGCAGCAAGCGGCAGTACAGCAGCAAGCCAGTAAGCAGCCCACGCATTACCGGCTTCACCGTCATGTCGGTGGTGACTCAGAGACGACGAGACACATGCATGCCAGCTAGCAGCAGCAGCAGCAGCACAGCTTTAGCAGCAGGCAATGCAGTAGCAGTGCACCTTTCGAATGGTACGCGAGGACAAAGCAATCTGCATCGCGCCAGCAGCAGGCCCACGCTCTGCCCAGTGGGCAGCCAGCTACGTCCTACGCAGCGTCTCATGCAGCCCAACCGTCAGCAGCCCAGCAGGCTAGTAGCACAGCCCTCAGCAGTAGCACAGCAGCAGCAGGCAGCAGTAGCAGCAGCAGTAGCGCTGGAGAGACTATTAGCCATGACAAGGTCAAACTCAGCATAGTTTTAGGGTGGGGCAGCTTCTATTCGAGATGCATGACGCCAGATATGCGTTCATTCAGTTTCAATGGATTGCGCGATCACGAGACCAACGACTGGGATTCCAAGGGTAAGGAAAGATCGCTCGACTCATATCTTTGGTCGTCCTTTAACTTATACACACCGGCCGATGCAGAAACATACACGCTCTTTCTCCAAACACCTTAGATATTGCTCTGCTCTCGAGAGAGCTATACGGACATAGTTGGGGACTGTGCAGGCAGAGTGCGAAAAGCAAGGAGATGCAGTAGATGGGAGTGATTTTGTTGAATTGAATAGCAAATCTGAAAGATATTCGAGCCAGATTTTCCTTATGAATCCAGTGGTGCGTTCTGTCGGCGCATCCACTCGCCCCACTCACACCGCCACTCACTCTGGGTCTGCATCTGCGATAGAAAGCTGCAGCGAATGGTTAACAGTTTATAGCGGAGAGCGGAGGGAGGGCCAGGAGGGCAGGGAGGGAGGGCAGCATGCAGCTAGATTGTGTGTACACCTGCTGTAAAACCAGGACATGAGTTGGGGAATGTCGAAGAAAGGGGGTGACACTGGTCACGGTTAGTCGACAGGGAAGCAGGAAGGCCGATAGCGTGTGAAACAAGCAGTCTGAGTGTTGCGTTGGTCCGCTGCTCAGCTCGTAAAAAAACGTGGAGCAGGGAACTTGATAGCATATGCCTGTGTGGGAACTTTGTCACGCGCACGTGTTCATTTGCTGGATCGAACGGAAAGAAATGTCGCAATGACGTGAATGTTTTGCTCACATGATTAGCCATGCGAGCTCGGGCCGGTTTATGTTGGCGTCATCGTGGATCAGCGTGGACGTGCCAAGCCATGGCATTCACGCGATTAAGTCATTGTCCATTATGTTTCTTGAAGACTATGAAATCAGCGCATCGAGAGACCTTTAGAAGGTTCGAGTAAATAAGCCTGGAAAATGGAAACGTTCGCACTCCCCCCACCCCCCTCAGAAAAAAGACTTTCATCAAAAACTTATAATCATAGTCATGCTTCTTCAGAACTCGAGGAGACCAATCATGCATTTTTGCCAGTTTTGGCTGCTTTTCACATTCCACCTTGCAATGCTTCAATGTGCAAACACCGCAATCTCTGACTAATGTCAATTATTAAAAAAAGAGATAGGGAGAAAATGGGGGAGGAGGAGGGGAGAAATATAAAAGGCAACAGAGAGAAAGGAAGAGAAAGCTCGAGAAAGAGCAGGGAGAGAGGAGAAGAGAGGCGAGGCCAGAGATAGATAGGACATGACCAGCCACGACCAAGAGAGAGGGGGGAGAGAGAAAGGGAGAAAGTAGAGAGGAAGAGAGAGGGAGGAGTAAGAATTGAAATTGTTTATTCGTGGAGGAAGATAAAGACAAATAACAGAAGAGAAAATCGGAGATGAAGAGATGGAGAGGGAAAAAGAGAGAGAGAGCTAGAGCCCGAGCAGAGAGAGAGAGCTGAGCTGAAGGAAGAAGAGGCAGGAGAGAGCAGAGCAGGAGAGGAGAGGGTTACACGTAAGCTGATGATTCGTACCTGGCGGACTGTCTCTGTCTACCACTTGGTCGTCCCCCCGCTGCTAGGCGGGCCTGCAGCAGCCTTGTTGTGAATTCTTCTTCTGGAAGAACTTGCAATTTTCCAACATGGAGGTTTTGCTGCTGATGGGCAAGTCCTGTAATTCGAGTGTTTGGTCGGGGAATCGCTTGTATAGAGCGGAACACCAGTGGAGGAGGGTACCCAGGAAGAAGGCCTAAGAGCGGAGAGGTGAACCGAACATAAGCCCTTGTATGAAAGAAGTTTAATTCAATTACATTTTCAATTATCTTAAACGATCCCTTTCCTCACTTGTATTCAGCATAAACTGTTGGACATCCATTACGATAAGTCAATATCATTCATAACCGACCTTCTAACATATTTAATTATTTTCGCAAATGGAAACAAATCCTTAATTACCATCGTCAAGGCAGGAAACACATTCAAGACCTACGATATTTAAGCCCTGGAGGCGTTTTATTACTGAAGAATGAAGCCATTATTTACGTAAATACATTGGTTATTACATCGTAAAAAATAAATAAATAATAAATCTGTATGTGTGAATGTTAGAGTGAGCCACTTCTAATATTTTCCTAGTGCATTGATTATGCTAGCGACCTTCACAGCTTCTTCCCATCACATTCACAGATTTATGTATCATTTCTGTAAGGCAATCCAAGCATGGGAAACACGTATTAGAAATTTTATACGGAGTTCTTTCTTTCTTTCTTTCTTTCCCCAACTGCTACATGTCAGTACGATGGAGTAAGCGCTGACTCTTCAGTCAGACATGTATGCAGCAAGTGACTGTGCATAATTGATTACAATAATTTAATTACGTGGAAAGTTATGTGAGGTTATTTGTGAGGCATTTCACACACAGTCATGTACGAATGAAGTTACATGCATTACGTGCCGTGAGTGTGGTATGCTATGGCACTTCAATGGTAAGGTGACAGGACATGACTGGAATACTCCGAGGTGTGAAGATCTCTGAATATAGAAACAATCTCTCTCCTGCCGTCAACTCCTGTTCTCTCCTCCTCGTCCGTCTGCCTCCCTCTCTCTCTCTCTTCTCTCTCGTCCTGTCTCCCTCTACTCTCCTGTCTCTCTCTCTCTCTCCTCTCCTCTCTCTCCTCTCCTCTCTCTTCTCTCTCTACTTCTCTCTCTTCTCTCGTCTGCTACCTCCTCTCTATCTCTCTCGTCTCTCCCTCTCTCTCTCCTCTCGCTCTCTCCTCTCTTCTCTCTCTCTTGGTCCTCTCTCAGAGAGAGAGAGAGAGAGAGAGAGAGAGAGTGGGAGAGAGAGAGAGAGAGAGACGAGAGAAAGGAGTGAGGCAGCGAGAGAGAGTTTCATATTCAGAGACTTCACACCTGGAGTATTCCAGCATGTCCTGTCACCTTACCATTAAGTGCCACTAGCCATACCACACTCACGCACGATAATGCATGTACTCATTCGTACATGAGTTGTGAAATGCACAAAAACCTCACATACTTCCACTAATTAAATTATTTAATCAATTATGCACAGTCACTGCCGCATCATGTCTATGAACAGTCAGCGTTACTCCATCGTACTGACATGTAGCAGTTGGAAAGAAAGAAAGAAAGAAAGAAATCCGTATAAAATTTCTATTGTGTTTCGATGCTTGGATTGCATTACAAAATGTGACATAATCGTGATGTGATGAGAAGTGTGAAGGTCGTAGTAATGCAAATGCACTAGGAAAAATTTAGAAGTGGTCCACTCTTACATTCACACATACATATTTATTTATTTATTTATTTATTTACAGTTATAACCAATGTTACGTAAATAATGCATTCCAGTAAAAAACGCTCGCAGTGTAAAATTCGTAGCTTGAATGTTGTTTTCCTGCTGACATGTCATCATATAATTAAAGATTTGTTCCATTGGAAAATAATACATATTAGAAGGTCGGTTATGAATGCTATTGATTATCTAATGATGTAACACAGTATTATGCTAATACCACGAGGGAAAGGGAGTTAAAATTGAATGTATGAATTAACTTCTTTCTTACAGGGTTGTGGCACCTGCTAGCTTATCTTCTAGTACCTCCTCCACTGCCTCTAAAGGGGCAACATCGAAGTTACAGGCTCCTCAGAGCAAAAACTCCATGTTGGAAAAATTCAAGTTCTTCAGAGAGAAGAATCACAACAAGGCTGCTGCAGCGCCCCCTAGCAGCGGCGGGACGACCAAACCTGGTAGCAGAGACAGCTCCAGCAGGTACGAATATCAGCTTATGTCACCCTCTCCTCCTCCTCCTCCTCCTCCCCCCCTCTCTCTCTCCCTCTCTACTCTCTCCCTTTCTCTTTCCCCCCTCTCTCTCTCTGTGTCTGTCTGTCTATCTATCTCTGGCTCGCCCTCTCTTTCTCCTCTCTCCTTTTCTCTTTCTCGAGCTTTCTCTTCCTTTCTCTCTCTTTGCCTTTTATATTTCTCCCCCTCTCCTCCCCCATTTTATCCCTCTATCTCTTTTTTTAATAATTGACATGTAGTCAGAATTGGGTGTCACATTGAAGCATTGCAAAGCTGGAATTGAAAAGCAGCAAAACTGGAAAAATTCATGATTGTTTCCTCGAGTTTGAAGAAGCATGACTATATTATAAGTTCTTGATGAAAGTCTTTTTTCTGAGGGGGGTGGGGGGGAGTGCGAGACGTTTCCATTTTCCCAGGCTTATTTACTCGAAGCCTTCAAAGGTCTCTCATGCGCTGCATTTCATAGTCTTCAAGAGAAATAATGACAATGACTTAATCGCGTGATGCCATGTCTTGCCACGTCACGCTGATCCACGATGGATGCAACATAAACGGCGAGCTCGTGGGAGAATGCGATTGACATTTCCTTTGTCACACAATGACACGCGCGTGCAAAGACGAATCAGTTCCTCCCACGTTTTTTTACGACGCGCACGCACAACGGCTTTCACCGTCATGTCGTGTGACTAACGGACAGTGTCACCCCTTTCGATTCGGAAACACTGCTCCCTCCCTCCCTCCCTCCCTCCCTCCCTCCCTCTCCCGCTATAAATGTTACATCGCTGCCAGCTTTCTATCGAGATGCAGACCCAGATATGCGTCATTATGTTTCAATGATGCGCGACAGAAGCACCCTGGATTCAATAAGGAAAAATCTGCTCATATCTTTCGCATCTATATTCACCGAAAATCACCCTCACATTGTTGCTGTCTAAGTGAATATTCGGAGTGATGATTGAATGTGGTCCACTTAACGCGTGTGCGCGCTGCAATCAGAACAGTGCTAATAAGTTCCGTAGATATTATCATGAACAATTGTGTCATACTATGAATATTGTGCAAATTTGGTCGCGATATTATCCTACGTACGCGTCCTTTTATTCATTTACCCGTTTATGATATTGGAAAAGAAATCGTCTGATGTAAAAATTCTCTGCATTTTACGAAGATGCATTTTCGTAGTGACAGAATCGGATCTGTACCTTGCAGGCATGCACAGCAGATGCTGCTGTTGTTCAATCTCCATATCTATGTACACACGTGTCATTATCGAACATCTATTTGCTTTCACTCACTCATTTATTCATCTTAGCAATGTCTATAGCAGGCTTCTTTCTGCCGAAGAATTTCCCAGGAGAAAGTGAAAATTCAGAAATGAGAAGAAATTTCTCTCGTGCGCGCGCGCGCGTGTACGTACTGTCCACTCGTATCGACTCATGCATAAATGCACGAGCGCGTCACGGAATAAATACATGCATAAAAAATCGGGCGGTTGAATGAATAACAAATATGCAGGAAATAAGTGTAGCATCTGGGTAACAGCACAACCCACTCTGAAATCTAATTTGCACTTCATCCGGCAGCGAATTCACAGGAGCATCGTTACGCGCAGCATGGAATCCATTTCACACTGCGTATTTTTTATGGGATTAAAACCCGTTTACAATGATAAAAGTTTCCTAATCTTTTTTTCGTTGTTTTTTATCATTCGGAAGAATTATAAAGAAATGTCATTGACCTTAAACAGATGTTGGCTATTATTCTGAATTTTCGTTATTTAAATTTTGTTTAAATCCTATTTAAATTTAAGCGGCACTGTAATTTGAAACGGCATGGTAAGAGCGAGGGCCGGAATTTAATCAGGAGATTTTGGAGGGCTGATCAAATATTAACTCGTGATGCTAACAATCTGTCATTCTCCGGGACACCGATGTGCGGGTGCGTTAATTCGCGTCATTTGAATATGTATATCCACGCGAAATTTATTTCACATCAATAGTTTATTTGATCGTAGCCGCTTTCCACTTTTCAGAAGTAAGCGACAATCGTACGTTCTTCGCGTGCGCATTTCTTCGGCATAATCAACTACCTTTTTTTCTTCCGTCCTTTAGAAATCACTACGCCATACTGTTTTTATTTCTTCCCCCGCTGCGTATGTGGAGTGGTGACTCACTCGCTGAATGGCCCGGCCAGGGAATTAGGTTTCACGTCGATCGTACTGCCAGGGCGTCGCTCGCGCGAGTTTGCCTTAGCCGACCCTCGGATGTTTAGTTACGGCAAACAGCGGAAGCCCCGTTGCTAGGATGAACCCAGATTAGTTGCGAATATAAATGTAAGCGGTGCTGTTACTGTGTACTGGGTGAACGCCCCCCCCCCCGTGTTCCCTCCTCCCTCGGTAAGCACGGATCTGCCTCCGTCGAAAATATGTAATCGCTCTGATACCCGTTGCTTAGCGCTCGCCTATGTGTGCGTGCGTGCGTGCGTGCGTGCGTGCATGCTTGTAACGTAACCTAACCCTAACCACGCTGTGACCGTGTCGTTTATTCCGGCAGCATACCGAGAAGCGATTCTTCCAGTCCCTGCGGTGACTCACGGCCGGCCACCGCCCCGCCATCTGGTGGCAGGGATATCAGTCCCGCCTCGCACGCCACGAGTCCGAAGGCTGCTGTGAAAGCACTAGCGAAGAAGACCTTCAGTGAGTAGTTAGTAATGGCATATAGTAATAGCATTGTGAACCTGAGAGCGAATGCACGTACGTGTGTTTAGCCGAGTCTAATTTCAACACTACAGTAGCAGAGAAACCTGCTGATAGCTTTTAAATAAAATTAATAAGTGCAAATTAATTTCAGTAATTTTATTTTAATAATGATGTTGATAATTATTTTGCCCTCTTGCAATTTTAATCCCAGAAAACTGTTAATCAGTATGATCGAAATTGCGAATAATCAAATGATGTTCTAATTATCGTAGTAAAGATGTCTACGCTTTTCTATGATTTTCACCACTTTTTCACACTAGCAATTCTAACTACCTCATGATGTGACTTAGCGAAATGTTTCTCATCTCTCTCTCATCATCTCTCGTCTCGCTCTCTCGATCTCTCGTCTCCGTCTCGTCTCTCCAGACAGCTCGTAAATCACCTCTCTCTCTCTCTCTCAATCTCATCTCTCTCTCTCTCCCACTCTCTCGGCATTCGAAGTTGTAACTCTCATCTCTCTCTCTCATCGTCTTCTCTTTCATCTCTCCTCTCAATCTCATCTCTCTCATCTCTCTACATCTCATCCATATCTCCTCTCTCTCTCGTCTTCCTCCTCTCTCTCTGTGCTCAGTCTCACTCTCCCTATCTCATCCATCTCCGTACTCTCTGTCCTCTCTCTCCCGGGCCAGCTCCGTCTTCTCTCTCTCTCTCATCTCTCCTCGACCTCTCTCCCACTATCTTCTCCTCCTCTCTCTCTCTCATCCCTCCTCTCTCTCCTTCCTGTCCTCTTCCCTCCTCTCTCTCTCCTACACACTTCTCTCTCCTTCTCTCTCTCCTCCTCTTCTCCGGTATCTCCTCTCCATTTCTCTCTCTCCTCTCTCTCTGCTCCTCTTC